TAGCATCACATCTTTATGTATGGCCATACTAAGAGGGAAATATTTTTTTTTAAATTGGGAATAATATACTTAAGAGACTAAGAAATGTAAGCTACAGCTACATAAATCAAGGAGAATGACTGCTATCAAACTTCAGCAGTCAGCATTCAATGAACTCAGTCTTGCTTCACTTAGAGTCTGGAAAAGACATAATCTTATGAAAATATGCGAGGCAAAGGTATCTGGGAAAATGCATCTCTCTGGAAAGATACAAAGGTTTTGGTTTTTTTTCATGAAAAAATGAATCCCCCAAAGAGATAAAAAGATCGTAAATTCTTATGCTGTAATTTTGTCCCTTTTTTTCCCAGGGAGCTAATCCCCAAAATTTCCCTATGTATAAACAGGCTCATCACTGTATTTTTATTGTTAGGTTTAGTAGAGAAGTGAATCATCCCTGAAAACCCTGAAATATGCCAAACAACTTGAGTATTTTTATGTGTGAAATTTCAATAAAACCCTGGTAAATGACATCCCCTTGCACCCCTTGCAAAACACAGTATTTCCATCTTGTCTGTTTCTCCTTGTGTCAAGTAATAAAATAAAACTAATGACTGCTACTAAATTACAAAATTCTAAAGATATCTCCTAAATCTTATTTATATTACATGTACATATAACACCACATCTCTGCATTACTATTGGCATCATTCTAAGACACTTGAAAAAGTATAGTGTTACTTAAAACAGCTGTAAACATATTGAACTTTCAACCACTTAACCCAAAACTTAGGCAGCTCTCATCTTTAAATATGTGAATTTGACAGGACTTAAGATGGAGAGGGCCTCAAAAATCAGAGGGAGAAACAGAAGACTTCTGCACACCCTGAGCCAAAAGATCACCTGTACAAGATGAATGTCACTTTTCTGGATTGTTAAATACAATATTCATTAACTCTGGCAAGTCAGTAGGCCTATTATGGAAATTACAAGCATACAAGTAATTCTAGAAGGGAAGTTGTCTATATAATCTATACGACAACACCCTAGACTAGGTTGCTTTTTCAGAAGATGGCTACAAAGAAATTACAAAGTACATGACTGGAAAAAAGTACAGGGAAAAACAGACTTGATGTTTTAATTGAAAACAACCTAGAATGAACAGAAAGGAGAAACATCAATTCTGCCTTAGGAGTCATTCTACAGCTGGAGCTCACAATGTGAAGCATTTAGGCATATGCACTTTCAACATGCACCTGAAAGAGCTATTAAACTGGGTGGCTGAAGAAATTATGAACACAACAGTTACCTAATAATCAAGACCAGTTGTAACAGGAAACCATTCTTTCTATAAATTTTTTTACCCTCTTAATTCCTAAGTTAACAACAAAAACCCTCTTCTGGGTGCACTAAAAAACTATATACTTCTACTGAAATGTGCCTATAGCCAGGGCTAAAGTTCTGTCAAAATATACACTTTTAATATAATAGGCAAGTCTCTTACATGCATAATCCAAATCTTTCAAGAGATAGTAATGCATTTAGTACCTCAGCTGATTTGAAAAAGGAAGTGTAGTCCTAATACCAATACTAAATACTAATTGTAGGACAAGTCTAAAGCAGGCACAATGGCCATGCAGATGGGATGCTAACACCTGAACTAAAACTAAACTGAAACATATAATCTGTGTTGTTCTGGGCTACTCACAGAATCCTGCTTATTTGGAAAGACAATGAAGCAGTGCAAAAAATGCCAGGGAAAAGCTGCCGTGGATTTTCTATTAATTCTAGCTTTATCAGTTCCCACTGTATTCACAATAGTCAACTGCTGCTTCATGGAACACAGTACTACAGCTCTGCATGCCACCTTGGAAAACAGCACTCTCCACAATTAAAGTAGCAAAACCACATTAATGAAGTCTGACTCATTTTGGGATGACTCCAAATGAAATGCAAAATATCTGCATGCTACATTGAGTGTGTTCGTTCTACCTTAAATTACCTTCAAGGGCAATCTGCCAGGTATTTATAAACATTGCATTGTTACAGTAACTTGAATATTTGATTGTGAAAATATTAAAATTTTGTAACATTTGTAATACAGAAGTTTAATTTCACCTGAAAAACCATGGACATGCTGTCATTTCATATAATAAAACTTACATTTAGCAATCTTTAGAATAATGTGTTTTCTAACTGCATTAAGTCAGTTTCACTGTTTCTTCTCTAAGCATGGTCAGGGTGACATGTTCCAAAACTCATTTCCATTGAAGTTCTACAGCACAGTGCAGTTTTTTTTACCCCATCAGAACTGATCCTACAAAATGATGTGTAAATAAAAATCCTAGATCACCTAGAGATAAAATTTGGTAAATAATACTTGTTTTGTTACTGGGCTTTAAGGTTATTAAATATTCAAAAATCTAATAATATAGTTATCACTGAAGTCAAGTACTTCACAATTTGATTTTCAAACACATTTTAAGAAATTTGAAAAAATAAAAGGCTTGTATAAGTATTTTACACTTCACTGATTTTAAAGGTGAGTAAGAGCCACTAATTTTCTTAAACAAGTCAAATTTCTGTGCTCTAGTACAGAAATAGTGCTACTTGCTGTAACAGGTACACTGTCCTTGCAGCATCTACAATAGTCTTTACAGCATAAGTACAGGATTTCTAAATTGTTGAGAAAAAAATGCAGGCATTTTCTCAGCAGTCCTAACAGAGGAATTAAGGCAATATTCTATAAAAAAATGACACAGTCATGAAATCAGGGGATTTGAAATGAACAAGAGGACAAAGATTTCTTACTATACCAAAACAAACTTTATTTTTTCTGAGGCTGAAAGATTCTAGATCTGTATATAGGATACAACAAGCATTGTGTCAAATAGAATAACATTTGAACTAAAAGGTTTGAAAAATCATGAGAACTTACAAATTAAGTAGTCATTACTTGAGATATAAATATTGCTCTAAACCCTGCAAGGACTCTAAGTGTTCTCCCCAAAACTAATGGGATTACTCACTTCAGAACCAGGGTTCAAATTACTTCCCAAATACAATATTTGTTCCACTACAATCTGTCTTTGACAGCCATAAAATGGCTTGTGGTGGGAGGGACCTTATATATCATCAAGTTCCACCCCCCCTCCCATGGGCAGGGACACCTCCCACTACACCAGGCTGCTCAAGGCCCACCCAGCCTGGCCTTGAAATTTTCCACAAAGGGAGCATCCACAGTTTCTCTGGGCAACCTGTTACAGAGACTCACTAGCCTCACAGAGAAGAATTTCTCCCTAATATCCAATCTAGACCTACCCCTTGGACTATTCACTGCACATCCTTGTAAAATCTCCTGCTCCAGCTCTTGTATGCCTCTCCTTAGTTACTGCAGAGCTGAAGGAAGTTTTTCTCAGAGCCTTCTCTTCTCCAGGCTTAACAGCCTCAACCTCTCAGCCTGTCTTCAGACAGCCTAACAAGAAAGTTGTGCTTGTTCGTATCTGATCTGGACCCAAAAGCAGTCAGCTCACAGTGCTAGTCCAGGTCAAAAAAGTACTCATGTGGTATCCCAATCTGTCATTACTAATTTTTGGACCAGGATTGTAATAGTAAGCTTTTACTACTTAAAACAAGCTTAGACTTTCTGTTACACTGAGAAAACTTCTTAGCAACAAGAAAGGTTTAAAATACAAATAAACTTTTTTAGTTTATTTGAAAGAAAACTGTAAATGAGAAAACTGTACCAGTGAGTTTTCAGAGATACACGTAGACTGATACACACACACATATATACACACACGCACATTTTGGGTGTAATTGGTCATCTCACATCCTGTGGGCATGGGTTCAGAAATTTATTAAATTTAATAGAAATTCAAACAAGATGTTAAACTTCTACCCAGCTACTCACTAAAAATTAGATGTGTCCAGAAATACATGCATTTATATGAAAAAAACTCTCAAAAAGGCAATAGCTGCTTTATGTAAATGCAGTGCTGTAAATATACAGCTGATGCATGAACAAGTCCAATTAAACCCTACTGTTGGGCAAATAAAATCCTTACAATTTTTACCTCCTAGATAAGGACACAAACTTTGGGTTTAGACTCTGGGTCAGAAACAGTTCTTAAGAACTACAGAGCTCAGAGCAACACCTGTTCCCTGTGCACATAACAAGCAGTAGTGCTACCTCTAACTCGACAAAAACCGACATACCATGACAATGTGGCAGATATTTTTAAGGATTAAAGCAATTCTTTCTTTTGACTATCTCATGTTGCAAAAAGAGATGCTGTAAGTTACTTCTCTGCTTTCGGTGAAGGAAAACTTTGGGCAACAGGTGAGAGATCCAAAGTGACTTAGTGACATAAAGACAAGAAGTAGGTGGCAAGGTTTACAGGACGGGAGGACAATCCGAGTCTAGTGACACTCCTGGGCAATTTCCAGCTTTCACTTTATGATCTTCAGAGCATGACTGCTGTTTTCATGCCCCAGAAAGCTGTCACTGCTCAACTCACAGACCTTTAAAAGCGCTACGCTCTTCGTGTTTATCTCCGCTCTCAGAACTTTCAAAATACATAAAAAGTTAATCTACCACATGAAAACATTATGGGGGGGAAGACATAAACTCTCCTATAAATCCGCTTCATTACGAACATCTTCTTTATCTGAAGACACGCAACTTGCAGCCAGCGTGCCGAAAACACACCCCGCCGCAACACTCCACTGATTCGCAGCGTACAGCGATCTACACGGCGACTTTCCTCCCCATGCCCGACCCCGGGCTCTGCCCGCATCCCCAGGCGGGACCACGCCCCCGCTCCCCCGGGACACCCACCCGGCCCCGCCGCGGGCGAGGCGAGGCACGGCGGCGGGGAGCGAGGAAGGGAGGGAGCGGGGCAGAGAAAGTTGAGGAGGCGCCTTTCGGCGGCCGCCGGCAGGGGAGCCCGCGCCCGGCGCCCATTCAAACAAAAGAAGCCCCTTCTCCTGCCAGCCACCGCCGGTCCCACCGCCCCACTCACTTCGCAGGGCCCCGATGAGGAGGCTTCCGTCCTTAATCAGCTCCTTGATGAACTTGTTCGTCCTCTCCAGCTCGATCTCGTGACACTTGAGGCGCTCCCTGAAATCCGGGCTGTCCAAGTAGGAGTCGCTGAACTCCAGCGTGGGCAGCCCCATGGCAGCGGTGGCGGCCGCAGCCCCCCGGCCGGCGGCGGAGAGAGGCAGGAACGGAGGGAGGGCCGCGCCGAGAGACGGCGCCGAGGGCAGAGGGGATAGCGGGGGAGCGGCGAGACGAGGCGCGGCTGCCGCCTCCCCGGAGAAGCTGCCGACCCGCCGCACCGGCCCGCTGGCAGCGGAGGCGGCGCGCTCCGGCCGCTGTCACCCAGCTACATTGCTGCCCGCGGGATACCGCGGGCTCCCAGCGCCGCCGCCGCTCCGCCGCTTCCGGCAGCGCTCGCTCTTCCTCCCTGCCCGGCGCTAACTCCAGTGCGAACCTCCTCCGGCCCGGCCGAGGAATTCCTCCTCCTCCTCCCGGCGCGGCATGCTCACACGCCGGGGCCGCGGCCCGGCAGTGCCCGCCCCTCGCTCGCCGCCCCTCCGCGCTCTGCCCTCCAGCGGCGGCGCGGCCTCGGGCCGCTGCGACCCGGGGCGAGGTGGAGGGTCCGGGCTCGGCTCGGTCCGGCGCTCGCCGCCTCCTTTACCAGGGGCTTTGGGACGGCCAGAGCGAAGTCGGGAGGGAGGCTGCACCACGGGGCACGGAGGCGCAGGGGCATTGCAGAGGGTGCGCCTGGAGGAGGCTGGTTCTGTCGGGGTGAAGCGGGGCGGCTGCTGGGGCAGGAGCAATGCCAGCCCCGGGGCTCCTGCCCCGCTGGAGGAGCCGCGGCAGCCGGGGCCGGAGGCAGGCAGCCCGAGCGGGCCTGCTCTGGCAGGGGATCCCGCTGGCACCCTGGCCAGCCTGCCCCGGGTGCGCGTCCGGCCTGCGGCGGGGCAGCGGCCCCGGGACGGGCAGACACAAAGATGGGAGCATCCGTGTTCTGCCGTAGCACTTGGTTGCTATGAAGGGGATACAGCTGAGCCAAATCCATCCTAAAGATGAGCATCAAGCCTGGTTTCTGCAGCAAAGTTGGTTTTTACGAGTATGTGAGTGGGCTTTTCACAGTAAACAGAAACACTTTGATTGATTCTTGTGTGTTTGTTTATCTGGAGTGGTTTATCCCGACGTATCATGTCAGTATGCATGTACACAAATACACATACTGAATTTAAGGAGATCTCTCCATAAACACACCTTCAAGTCGGCAACAACTCAATTGGAAGCAATCATCAAGGCATGGCTGTGAAAGTAATTGTACTTCAAGAAGCCCACCACTTGCCCAAAATTGCTTTCAAGAAGACAGCCATGCACACACTCCTACCAAATAATAGACACACCATGTCTACACAGTTGAATATGGAAGTGCGGGAAGGCTCAGTGCTCCTACATGCTGTACTGTAATTCCTTGATATCATTTGTTGTTTTCACTCTTCTTAACTGTTCATCAAAATTTACCTCTTTGTATTCACAGTAGATTTTTGTGAGTGTCAAAAATGCGGAAGAGATGCTGCCATTTCAGCTAATACAGCTTGGAGAATTTCTTCAAGTAAAAAAATAATAATTCTCAGTTTTCACAAGGCTGAGACTTCCTCAGCACAGTATCAGAGTTAGCTGTCAGTGTTGATACTAATAGACCCATTGAAGTCTCTTAATTCATAGTGATTGCAAAACTCTGCTCATTAACATGTTCCCTATTTTCTAATAATAGGAGGAATTAGACTGAAAAGGGCTGGTTATTTCCATGCCTTTGCAGGCAGTAGCATGTAATTTCACTTGTAAACTAATAAACTTTATTTAGAATTCAGTTGAACTACTGGAAGGATGTTGCAAGTGGATCTTTTTTCTGACTATTAAAAACCAAATTTTCAGTCTACATATATTCACAAGGTCATTTTAGGCACAGTTGGTCTCTTTTCAATATAATCTGGAAGTGAAAACATTATTTGTCTTCTACCATGTTTATTCTTTGATGTAGTTTTAGAATACAATAATGTAATCTCTTAACTCTTCCATACAATACTGAAATAAAGCTTTCTGTCATATAATAAAATACTAATTTCCTTTTTTATTCTTGTTGTTCTTGTCTAGGTCTCTAAGTTTGATTTGATCTTACTTCATCATAGTTTACTGAAATTATATGCAAGACCTTTTTCAGTCACATTAATGACTATGTTACTGAACTAAACACCTGTGATGAAGATTGCATTTGTCTATTTCACAGCAAAATTACTACTGTGCTTCACTAAGGCTCTTAGATCTTTCTTTTCCTGTCTTCAACTAGCAGATTCCAAAGTGAAAACAGAGACATTTGCTAGTCCCAAAACCATGTACTAAGCATTTTAGTTCATGTTATGCTGGTAATCAAGGTGACTGATTTTTACTATATAATGTTCTCATCTTAAGCATAAGCACACTGCTGCTTTTGATATCAAGATCACAAGTGGAAATAATAATGAAAGCAATATTAATAGCATATTCCCTCCAAGTAACTTGACATTATCCATTTAACTGGTTCCATGTTTCTCAGAATAATCCAGATTTTTCTCAGCATATAGTGTATCAAAGTTCATGTAAAAATTCTACTAGTTCACATGTACTACCGTTCCCTTTTCTCAGAAAAAAACATTCTTTTTAAGAAAATAGATTTGTTAATAATTGTCTTTGCTTCATAAGGCTATATGTGGCCAAATGAACACCCAATCCTTCATTATCTTCCACCAGCAGAGAAAAGTTTTATACTTAACCTGTGAGCTTAATGAGCGTTTATGGCTGCATCTGGAGGAGGATCGGGTAAATGAGGGATCTGGCACACTTACAGAGTTCAACTATCAAAAAAAGTCTTGATGGAAAGATAAGTCCTAGGGTGTGTTTTGTGTTGGAGTTAGGTGGGACCTAGGAGTTTGCTGATTTCTAAAGAAAACAAGGTATTTGAAGATGTACTTGGGGTATGTAGAGGCCCAAACTTTATAGTGAGCAGGATGGAACTGTATTTTATTTGTTTTCTTTTTTCTTTTCTTTTCCTTAGAAAATTCTTTCACAGTGCCCTGGTAGAAACAGTAGGTTTCATAACTTGAAAAGATGGGAGAAACTGGGGAGAAGCCTAAACTTTCCAAAACAGCAACTTTCTTATGAAGTAATAGTACGCTAGAAGAGTGTGAACTATATTGAAGTACAGTTTAGACACCTAAGTAGGTACAAGCACCAGTCCTTCAAATAGAAGGCTCTAGTCAATGAGTTAGCCTGGTGTTATTTCTAGCTATGAAGAGACTAATTAAAAATGGGATGCCTTTTTTTTTTCTGAGCCCCAGAGAGCTTTGTCCTGTTTCATCAACTTCTATGTTTGCTATTCTAAGCTTATTCTGATATCTTACATGCTAATGAGGTCAGATCAATTACTGTGGATTTCTCGTTCATCTTAAATGTAAACACTGAACTGTAATTTCTGGGCACTGGCCCTAGTCTGACTCCAGAGGATACCTCAAGCCTATTTCTAGACAGCCTGGGAAAAGGGAGGGAGGTGCTGCCTACTCGTAGTGTGAGGATAGGGCTGCACATGCAGTCCCCAACATTTAAGGCTCTATCCTCCTATCCTCCTCTGTTAGACACTATTAATCTAGTCAGTTAATGCAGAGAAGGACTGTGAGTGTCTCTTATCTACTGGGGAATATTTTAGGATAGAGACTTTGCCAACTTCCTTGTTATTTCTTCTGCCTCAATGTACACAATTATGGGAAAATTGCTTATAGAGCTGTGTGGCATTGCTCTGTCTTCTGAAAATTGCTGTTTTCCCTTGAGAGACTGTGGGATTATAGGCAGAAAAATACAAGGACACTGATGCTTGTAAGTCCTCTTGAACTACTCAAGTGTACAATATTAACTCTGTACATATCTAGCATAGAAAATATTAATAGAATAGAAAACCCCATCAAGCAGTTTTTTACAGAGTATTTGAATTTGTTTTAGCTCTCAAAAGAGCTTGTTTTACTTAAGTTTCCCATAGGTTTCTTCTTGGGAATTGTCAAGGTTCCCAGGAACTTGCTAGGATAAATTCTATTAAAAGTTTTCAGTTTCTCCTTATTAATTTAAGATGCTACATGCTAAGTTTATATTGGTGAACAGTGTTAAATTTTAAAAAATATAAAATAAATAAAAATTCATGAGAAAAGTAGGTCTAAGTTTTTTATTTCCTGGCATATATAAACTGAAAGTAATACTACTCTGGAATACAGCCTCATGTTGTTAACTGACTGCTAAATGACATAGCTGCCAATGTGTTCTGTTTGTTTTGTTGGTTTGGGTATTTTCACTGTAAGTTAACATTGTCAGAGGAGGAGAGTAGCTGGACAAAATCATAGTCTGGAAACCACGCCTTGTAATTTAGTATGTACAGACCATATTATCTGAAATATTGGTCTCTGTGCACAAAGGTCAACTCACATGTGCATTCCTATCAGTGGTTCAGATTGTCATCAATAATTACAGATTGGTAAACTTTCTAGAGAAAAATGTGGTGTTTTTAATACATGAACTAGCTCAAAGTGGTTTGGAGAAGCTTCAAACAGGGAAGTTCAAAGCTGGAATTAAAAATCATGTTTAGTAACTTTTACGCTGTGTTTGCTTAAGCCTCCTGGGTACTTCTGGGTTGAATCTGAATATTCCCTAACTGGCTGTGATTCTGCCTTCTGGTATGCTCAAAATAGCATTTACTTCAAGAAGTAGGTGCCTGACACCACGTGAGTTACAGACACTTGAAACAAGCAGCTCCCAGCTCCCAGATGGGAGCAGATGAAGGCTCCCTGACTGAGCAGATGAAGGCTAGTCAACATTCTATGGGAAGGAGTAGGTGTGGCAGCTTAAAAATCACAGCAAGGTAATGAGGACTGCTTTATGTATCCTAGTACCTAAAGTTTTAGCCTATAGAGTAGGAAAGCTGAATGTTAGGTACCTGCAGTCTTGGTTCACAGCGCTATCTCTAGAAGGGGGAAAATTCAGATCACACTTTGCCTTGCATTTCTTCTTGAAGCTTTTGGGAGTTTCCACTGGGAAGGCTTTTATGATTAAATGTCAGCATGAAATTACGCTCCATGGATTACGCTCCATGTCTTTATACAGGAGAGAA